AAACTCAACAATAAGGAAAGAAATAATCCAATTTTTTAAATGGACAAAAGACCTGAAAAGATACTTCACCAAAGAAAATATTGACAAATAAGCACATGGAAGATGTTCAACAACATCTGTTACCGGAAAAATGCAAATGAAAACCATAACGTGACAGTACTAAATACTTATTGTTGTCATTCAGTCACTAAGTCATGTCCGACTCTTTTCCAACCCCCATGGACTGTAACCCACCAGGCTCCTCTGTCCATGGGATTTTACAGGCGAGAATACTGGAGTGGGCTGCCATTTCCTTCTCTAAGAGACCTTCCCAACCCAGGGATCGAACCAGGGTCTCCTGCATTGGCTTCCCTCATAGCTAATCAGCAAAGAGTCTGCCTGCAGTGCAGGAGACCTGGGTTCAATTCCTGGGTCGGGAAGATCCCCTGGAGAAGGAAATGGCAATCCACTCCAGTACTCTTGCCTGGAAAATCCCACGGAGAGAGGATCCTGACAGGCTATAGTGTGTGGGGTTGAAAGAGTCGGACACGACTGAGCGGCTAAGCACACAGGCGCACTCCTGCATTGGCGGGCGGATTCTTTACGGCTGAGCCGCCAAGGAAGCCACATGCTTATTAGAACTGCTAAAATTAAAAAAAAAAAAACAACTGGACAGTACCAGATTCTGGTGACGATTCGGAGCAACAGGAATTTTCACTATTCATGACTGAGCATACAAAATAGTACAACTGTGTTGGAAGACAGTTTAGTCATTTATTATAAAGTTAAATATATATGCTCACAATAGAATCTGGAAATCTCAACTGCAAATGAGTTTAAAAATTTATGTTCACACAAGAAGTTACATAAGAATGTTTATAATAATGTTATTCAAAGTCACCCAAACTGAAACAACCAGGCTGTCCTTCAACCAGGTAATGGACAAACGCATAGTCCACACAATGGACTATTACTCGGTAATAAAAATGAATGCACTTGTGATTCACACATAATGTCGATGAATTTTAGATGCATCCTTTAAGTGAAAAAAGCCAGACTCAAAAGGCTACATATTGGATGATTATATCTTTATGAAAATTATTGAAAAGGCACATCTATAGGGTCAGAAAATAGGTCAGTGGTTGCCAGGGGATGAGGGGAAAGGGAGAGGCATTCTACAAAGGGGCTGTACCTGGCATTTCTCAGGGTGATAGGATGCTCTACATGGTTCTGGGGTGGAGGAAAAATGACTCTTTGGATTTGTCAAACTGCATAGGGCCGTGCACTACAAAGTATGAACATATGTGCGTATGGGAAAAAAAATCAACCGGGATGTCAAGGAGATCCCTGTTGGGAGAAGGATCGCGGAAAAATGCTATCGGCTGAGTGGCAACTATTGAAGTATGCTGAAGAACAGAAAAAACAGAGAGCAGTAAATACAGTGTCATGACCTCAAAACCACTGGTGCACAACCTCTCCACTTCTGCCCACTGTGAGCGGTGGATGAACGCTGGGTTAATGGAAGCTCCCAGGAGCAAGGGCTGTGTTTGCCTCCCTCTGGAGCAGGCGGGTTGCAGCCCAGTGTCCCGCCAACTTGAGTCATCTACACTCACTCCTTGTGAACTTATGTGTGGTCAGCTCATAATGTTGACGTCTTTTATCTTCTTGTTTTAAGAATATGTATGAACATACAAATATACCCATTTCTGCTTACAATTCATATACAGTATGAACTAACAAAATTATAAATCAGATACAAAGAAAACTGCAACCCCAACAAAGCTCCACCTGATAACCTTAAATTGGCGAAGCCGAGTCGCTCACAAACACACTCACAAATGCTCACAGTGTTGCTGGGTCTTCTGAGGTAAGCGTTCCTGACCACTGTTAGGACTATTTACTGTTGCTGCCATTACGTTTACAAACGATATCACAAACCTCCTTTTTTACAGCCCACCTGACGTCACATAAGATGCCTCGAGGAAGGTGAATCTGAAATCACCTCCCACATGAACACCATCACAATGACTACTAGACTCTGTTAGGATTATTCTATTTTCATCTGCACCTAACCTGTGATTAACGACATGAAATTTGGGTTAAACTTGGTCCTTATCCGGGAGAAGGAAATGGCAACCCACTCCAGTATTCTTGCCTAGAGAATCCCCTGGACAGAGGAGCCTGGTGGGCTGCTGTCCATGGGGTCATACAGAGTCAGACATGACTGAAGTGACTTAGCATGCATGCATGCACTGGAGAAGGAAATGGCAACCCACTCCAGTATTCTTGCCTAGAGAATCCCCTGGACAGAGGAGCCTGGTGGGCTGCTGTCCATGGGGTCATACAGAGTCGGACATGACTGAAGTGACTTAGCATGCATGCATGCATTGGAGAAGGAAATGGCAACCCGCTCCAGTATTCTTCCCCGGGGAATCCCAGGGACAGAGGCGCCTGGTGGGCTACAGTCCGTAGGGTTGCACAGAGTCGGACACGACTGAAGTGACTTAGCATGCATGGGTGCATGGTCCCGGTCCTCTGAGGAGCCTAAGTGTGAAGAAGTCACCAGGATTCACACGGGCATGGTTTGTCTGTGTTGGAGGAGAAAGGACTCTGCTGGCCATTATGCCTCTGCTCCCTTTGTCCTGAGTCTCTGCCTGCTTCGGAAGATCCTGACAAGAGGCAGGTGCAAACGCCACCCTCAGGTGGGATTTCAGCATCTTGCACCACCACACTGATCTGTTCTGAATGACGTGAACTCCCTAAGGTTATAGTAATGCTTTCAAGGTCGAAAAGTAAATCATTTATAAGTGGGCAGCACTCATAACTCATCAATTTGAATAGAACATTTTAAAAAATTGTTTGACTCCTGATTCTGTTGATTAACCTGTGATTTGGAGAAATTCATGCCATAACAATGAATACTCAAATGTTAAATTCTGGAGCATTTTTTGCTATATGTCATACGAGAATAAAGCATGCCTTTGAATTTTTGCAACAGTGCAGCCAGCTTTTAACTGAGTTTGTCAGATAGCAAGTTAGGGGCTGGACTAGGGCTGCATCAGAGAAAGACGCTGACAGGATTTTTTTTTTTTTTTAGTAGTACTGAAAGCAGCTCCTGGTTGTGTAGCTCCAGTGACAAAGTGTCAGTGATCTTCCTGCTCCCTTCCTGCCCTGCACGTGCTCCCAACGCCAGGCTTGAGAAACAGCTGCAGGAAAGTGGACACACCTGTGGGTGACAGAGCCAGAGCCTGGCAACCACACACACCAGCCATATTTTGGGGAGGCAGGGCTAATCACCAGCCTCTCTGCTTCATTCACCCATCAGGAAAGTAATGGTCATTTGTCGTTGCTGTCCATTCACTAAGTCGTGTCCGACTTTTTGCGACCCCGTGGACTGCAGCATGCCAGGCTTCCCTGTCCTTCAACACCTGAGACTTTGCTCAAATTCATGTCCATTGAGTCAGTGATGCTATCTAACCATCTTATCCTCTGTTGCCCCTTCTCCTGCCCTCAGTCTTTCTCAGCATCAGACTCTTCCAAAGAGTCAGCTCTTCGGATCAGGCAGCCAAAGTATTGGAGTTTCAGCTTCAGCATCAGTCCTTTCGATGAATATTCAGGGTTGATTTCTTTTAGGATTGACTGTTTTGATGGCAATAGTGATGTGGTTGAAATGGAGAGGTGCATGTAACATCCTGAGAGAAAAGCTTGATACTGGGACATAATCTATAAATGTTAGCTGTGATTATTGTCCCACTTGACGTGTTGGGTTGGAATCACCCATTTCCCCTTCTTGCTTTAAACTCAACTGGTCTATGAGTTCTGGAAGGGCAGGGACCATAACTTCGCGCCTCTGTTCCCACGGCCCCAAGCACACAACACTCAGTCGAGGTGTTTTGAACTGAAGAGAGGGAATAGAATTGGAAAATTGTTTGAGAGAGCAAAAAGATTGCAACCAAGTAAGGGACAGGAATGAGTCATTTTCACCCTGGAGTGGAGGATAGCAATGGCTGTGTACCACCCTAGAGTCAATCTCTGTGCCAACATAATTTCATCTCAATGCATTTAACGGAACTTCTCTCACAATGCCTTCTGGTAGACTACTGGAGAGGATTCTGTAACTAAAGGTTGTTTTCTCTGCTGCAAAGTAGACCTGAATGCTAACCAATTTTCAAAAAGTCTCATTCTAAGGTACTGGAAATGGTTGTGAATTGGGTGTTGGGTATCCTTTATCAATACATACCTATAATCTTAAAATTTCACAATTTACTACATGTATTACACTTCCAAACAAAATCTTAAAAGGCCCTTTGCCTCTCTGTAGCAATTCTGTCTGACACATGTTTAAAAGATCACCATTGGTACCCCGACTGTCCTCCCAAAGGCATCCTATATACACATGGTATATAAAATTACATGAAATTTGCTGCTTACCATGAATAGGAAAAGCCTCGAGGCTTCAAAACATGAAAGCTCTTTGCTGAAGAGCATCTGAAATTAACATGCGCATAATCTATCCACCAGAGGGCGCCAACAGAGCCCGAATAGTAAGAACACACTGAGCTAGCAAGCCAACCTATCAACCTTTCTAGACAAGAACTGCAGTTTCCACACACAAGCAGTATCAATTTCTAGGTTTCCAGGAAGGCAGATGAAATTTTATTAAAGTCAGATTTAATTCATGGGTTTATTTTTTCTTCTCAACAGTAGTCATACTGTAATAATAAGAGGCATCTTGATGTCATAAACACTAATAAATGACTAAAAAGGAGATGGGCACAGAAATAAGGATAGTTTACCTTTGTATTACCTCTAATGCTTTACAGGTTAGGCAGAGAAGTGAGTTCTGGCATTTGTTCTCCTTAATATGTGAATATAATTTATAAATATGGTTTGTGGTGCCTATTAGAGATGAAAAAATAGTTTCTACTGGATCCATGGATGACCACGGCTAGCAAACATGCAAATTAGAAAAAGGCACATCTGTGAAGTCTGGGGCAAAGCTTGGTGAGCAGGAAAAAGGGATGGATTTCAAGTCCCACTTTCCCCTCCCAGGCAGCTCTGCACAGGAATACCTGCACCACCATATTCAGCAGCTGAGTCTGGGCCGTGGCGGCTCCAAGAGGATGCTTGAGGGTAGTTTTTAATCCTCTTTCTGCCCAATTATTAGATAAGAACAATAATTTTTATCTCTTGCAAAAGGAAGTTCCAAGACAATTTGCCCACCTGCCCCCTTCCGATCAGAATGCTAACCTTAATGACGTCCTTAAAGAAACATTCTGGGTCCCCCACTAAGCTTTGGAAATGAAACCTTTCCCATGTGTCTTCTGCTTTCAGTCTACCCAGCTGGAAAGGTTTTGCTGTTATTTTCCAAGTTGCCTTTTTCTTTATAATTTCCATTTCCTGATCACTCCCTAGCCACTTATTTTTGTAACTGAATTTTTCTCATGGGTTGAAATTTATTGTAGGAGGAAACTGAAAGTAGGCATGCGTTTCAACATCTTGTAGTTGACCATGTCTCAGTTTGTACCTTAACTGACTTGACAACAGCTCTTAACCCTGGGGATCACTCTGTCCTCTGGAAAGTTTCTTCATTTGGCTTCTAGGACACAGCTCTTTGGATTCTCCTTCTCCTGTATGTCTGCTCCTTCTCAGTCTCCTGAACTGATTCCTCCTCATATTCCTGATTTCTAAGGGTTGACATCCATGAACCATCCTCTCTCCTGCTCTGTCTACACCCTTGCCTTGAGGATCTCACCTGGCCTGTGGGTTTACACGCCATCTATTCCCAACAACTCCCAGGTTTATATCTCCTTCGGTCTATGCCCTGAACTCCAGACTCATATGCAACTGCCTTCTCAACATCTCCATTCGGATGTTTAAAGGCAGCTCAAACTCGACATGGCCAAAGCAAACTCTTTCTCTGCCCACCATGCATACCTCCCATATCTGGGCAAATGGTACTCCCCCGTTTTTTAGTTGCTCATATGGAAAACCTTGGCATCATTTTTGGCTCATCTCCTCCTCTCACTCTCCATATCGGCAACATCAGCTGACTCCAGATTTGAATATGTCCAGAAATGGACTACTTCACACCACCAGCTGCCACTCAGATGGAAGTCAACATCACCTCTTGGTCCGAGTTTTTTCTTTAGTATTTATTTGGCTGCATCGGGTCTGAGCTGTGGCACACGGGATCTTCCCTGTGGCTCATGGGTTTCTCTCTAGTTGCGGTGCAGGTTCAGGTGCCCCAGAGCATGTGGGAGCTAGTTTCCTGAGTGGGGACCAAACCCACGTCTCCCACATTGGAAGGTGGACTCTTAACCACTGGGTCCCAGGGAAGTTCCTCGGCCTGGATTATTGCAACAGTCTTCTAATTCATTTCCCTGACTCTGCCCTTCCTCCCCTCCCCACTCTCCAACCAGAGTCAAATTTCTTTGCCACAGTTGTGGGATCCAAAGTGAAGTTAAGTGAGATCATGTCTCTCTTCTGCGTAACATGTTCCACCTTCCACAGTGAAATCAATGAGCTTGAAAGGGCCTTTTAAGGCTCTGCATGGGCAGCTGTGTTTTGGAGGAGGAAATGGCAAGCCACTCCAGTATTCTTGCTGGAGAATCCCATGGACAGGGGAGCCTGGAGGGCTACAGTCCACAGGGTCGGGCACGACTGAAGAGGCTGAGTACACACGCACATAGCGTGCGTGTGTTTGATCAGTGTCCTCCCCACCAAGGAAGTACTCCCTCTGATAGAAAGCATTTTGTTCCATTCACTGTTACAGCTCCAGTACCTATGAAAATGCCTAGCACATAGCAAATGTTCACTACATATTTGTTGAATGAATGTTGAATGAATCTAGCCAGATTATACACTGACTAAAAGCTACCTGCAATATATAAAATAAAACGTATTAAGATTTACCTTAAAATTTTCCAGAATTGGGTATCTTAAAAGGCATAGAAAGAAATAAGGTGTTTACTCTTGAAGCACACTGACGCCATATAATGTTTGATGAACTGAAACACTGAGTCATGAACTGAACTGGACTGAAATCCACCATCTTCCTGTTGTGAGTAGATTGCCTCAAGGTAATGGGGCAGAACAGAGCTACTAACTGACATTACTTAACCCCTTGTTGGCCTTGTGTTGAATTATGAAATGTTAAATTTACTACATGTTTGTTCATTTTTACCAATTAGTATTAAATTATATCATTAAATACATGCTACATAACTAAATGAATATATTATGAATATAATGGTTCACTACTGCAAATGCTGAAGAACCAGGCTGATGCACTATGAGAAAATATCCATCAGAGAAGTCAGGAATTGTGTTCTATTTCTCATCCTACTGGGGCTGAGATGGTAAAGCATCTGCCTGCAACGCAGGAGATTCAGGTTCAATCCCTGGGTCAGAAAGATCCGTTGGAGAAGGGCATGGCAACCCACTCCAGTGTTCTTGCCTGGAGAACCCCATGGACGGAGGAGCCTAGCAGGCTGCAGTCCATATGGTCACAAAGAGTCAGACTCAGTTGAGTAACTAACACTTTCAGTATCACCCTATTGCCAAATCTAATTGTGTATGTTAAAGATTTCTTGATGAGAGCTGTTAGTATATTAAAATATATTTACTGAAATTCAATACATGATTCAAATGATGTGTAATTTAAAAACAACTTGTGAAAGCCACACAATGAATTCATTTAAAACAGGGTATAACTAAGGGGAAAACTTTACTTAAAATACTACACTAATAACTAACCTAGTTGCTATTGTTGTTTTGTTCAGTTGCTCAGTCCTGTCTGACTCTTTCTGACATTATGGACTGCAGGCTCCTCTGTCCTCCACTATCTCCCAGAGTTTTCTGGAATTCATATCCATTGAGTCACTGATGCTATCTGACCATCTCATCCTCTGCCACTCCCTTCTTCTGCCTTCAATCTTTCCCAGCAACAGAGTCTTTTCCATTGAGTCAGCTCTTTGTATCAGGTGGCCAAAGTATTAGAGCTTCAGCATCAGCATCAGTCCTTCCAAACAATATTCAGGGTTAATATTTCCTTTAGGATTGACAGGTTTGAACTCCCTGAAGTCCAAGGGACTCTCAAGAGTCTTCTCCAGCACCACAACTCGAGAGCATCAATTCTTCAGAGCTCAGTCTTTTTTATGGTCCAACTCTCACATCCGTACATGACTATAGTAAAAACCATAACTTTGACTACACGGACCTTTGTTGGCAAAGTGATGTCTCTGCTTTTTAATATGCTGTCTAGGTTTGTCATAGCTTTCCTTCCAAGAAGCAAGCATCTTTTAATTTCATGGCTGCAGTCACCATCCGCAGTAATTTTGGAGCCCAAGAAAAGAAAATCTGTCACTACTTCCACTTTTCCCCCTTCTATTTGCCATGAAGTGATGGAACCAGATGCCATGATCTTACTATTTTGAATGTTGAGTTTCAAGCCAGGTTTTTTACTCGCCTCTTTCACCTTCATCAAGAGGCTCTTTAGCTCCTCTTCACTTTCTGCCATAAATGTGGTGTCATCTGCATATCTAAAGTTACTGATATTTCTCCCAACAATCTTGATTCCAGCTTGTAATTCATCCAGTACAGTATTTCACATAATATACTCTGCATATAAGTTATATAAGCAGGCAGGGTGACAATATACAGCCTTGATGTATTTCTTTCTCAATTTGGAACCAGTCAGTTGTTCCATGTCCATTTCCAGCTGTTGCTTCCTGACCCACATACAGGTTTCTCAGGAGACAGATGAGGTGGTCTGGTATTCCCATCTCTTGAAGAATTTTCCACAGTTGGTTGTGGTCCACACAGTCAAAGGCTTTAGTGTAGACAATGAATCTGAAATAGATGTTTTTCCTGGACTCCCTTGGTTTATCCATGATCCAACGAATGTTGGCAATTTGATCTCTGGTTAGTCTGCCTCTTTGAAACCCAGCTTGTACATCTGGACATTCTTGGTTCATGTACTACTGAAGCCTAGATTGAAGGATTTTGAGCAGATCCTTGTTAGCGTGTGAAATGAGCACAATTGTATGGTAATTTGAATATTCTTTGGCATTGCCTTTCTTTGGGGTTGGAATGAAAACTGACCTTTTCCAGTCCTGTGGCCACTGCTGGTGTCTTCCGAATTTGCTGACATATTGAGTGCACCATTGTAACAGCATCATTTTTTTTTTTTTTAGGATTTTAAATAGCTCAGCTGGAATGTCATCACCTCTACTAGCTTTGTTTGTAGTAATGCTTCCTAAGGTCCACTTGACTTCACACGCTAGGATTTCTGGTTCTAGGTGAGTAACCACATCATCATGGTTACCCAGGTCATTAAGACCTTTCTTGTTTAGTTCAGTGTATTCTTACCATCTCTTCTTAATCTCTTCTGCTTCTGGTAGGTCCTTACCATTTCTGTCCTTTATTATGCCTATCCTTGCACAAAATGTTCTCTTGAGATCTCCAATATTCTGGAAGAGATCTCTAGTCTTTCCCATTCTATTGTTTTCCTCTATTTCTTTGCATTGTTCACTTAAGAAGGTTTTCTTCTCTCCTTGCTCTTCTCTGGAACTCTGTATTCAGTTGGGCATATCTTTCCCTTTCTCCCTTGCCTTTTGCTCCTCTTCTTTCCTCAGCTATTTGTAAAGCTTCCTCAAACCGCTTTGCCTTCTTGCCTAGAGAAAAGTATAAATCGAAAATTTCCTATTTCCTTTCTTACATATTTTAGTATTTGATCTTTAAAATCAACGCATAGAAATACGAATCCAATATTAATCAGATTGTGTATTTCAATACCTGTGATTATAGCGGTCATGCGCCAGGGTGGATGGAATGTGGATTTTAGACCTTTACTGCCTTAATATGAATTTGCTCTGTCATTTCCTGGTTGTGAGTCTTGAGCAAGTGTGTACATTTCCTGACAGGGTTGTTGTAAGCAATAATGAGGCTGGTTACAGGTAAACACTTAGAATAGTGATAAGCATAGAGTAATCACTCAACAAATAATAGCTATCATTATTAGCTACACACCCTGAAAATAAAGTTCTGCCATCACATTAGCCCCCTTTGTAGCTAATAGGTTGAATTAATCCAATTTGCACTAATTTGTCGAAAATATCCAAATAGTCTTG